TCCTCAATTAAACTCTAAACTACCAATTTTTTTGTAGGGGAAATACCAAAGGAGATAGGTAATCTTCATAATTTGGAGATATTTTCAGCAGAAAATGCAAGCCTATCAGGTCTAATTCCACCAAATATCTTCAATATCTCTTCCTTAAGAGAGATTTATCTCCACACAAATAACCTTTTTGGTACCCTTCCCATTGATTTGTGCTACCATCTGCCAAATCTTGAGGTGCTTTATTTGTATGAGAATAAATTAAATGGCTCAATTCCCTCAAGTATAAGTAGATGCAAGAAGCTTCAGTGGTTGGCTCTAAGCACTAATAGATTTACCGCATGCATCCCAAGAAGCATTGGGAACTTATCCAAACTTATTGAAATATATCTCGGCCACAATGACTTTGAAGGTGAGATTATTGAATATGTTTTATTTTTATTTATAATACATGAGATTAATCATTTTTGAGTCATTACACTTTACTCTCAACATTGTAAGCATTAGTAAAAGTTTCTTGATAGGTATCATTCTAATGCAAACCCTCTTAATTTTTTTGAGTTTATTCTTCTTTATTATAGTTTGCTTTCAAAGTTGTAGATTCTCAAAGTAGAAAACAACCAACTTATAGGAATTATATCTAGAAATATTGAGAACTTAATTAAGCTAAGAGAAATATATATTGGAGATACAAAAACAAGGTAAATGATTTCATATTTTTTTAATTTGTCTTTCTTTTTTTTCTTTGAAAATATCTATTATTAAGTGTTAAGGTGGGATTCATCATTCCTCAGTTAAACTCTAAACTATCAATTTTTTTGTAGGAGAAATACCAAAGGAGATAGGTAATCTTCATAATTTGGAGATATTTTCAACAAAAAATGCAAGCCTATCAGGTCTAATTCCATTGAATATCTTCAATATCTCTTCTTTAAGAGGGATTTTTCTCCAGGAAAATAACCTTTTTGGTACCCTTCCTGTTGATTTGTGCTATCATCTGCCAAATCTCGAGAACCTTGTTTTGAGTGAGAATCAATTAAATGGCTCAATTCCCTCAAGTATAGGTAGATGCAAGAAGCTTCAGCAGTTGGATCTAGGCACTAATAGATTCACCTAACACATCCCAAGAACTATTGGGAACTTTTCCAGATCAAGTACGTCGCTAAAGCCGTCGATAACAGCGGGTCTGTTCAATTTCTGCTTTGTTTATGTATTTTAGCTCTATGTGTTTCGTCTTTCCTTAGTGACCTAGACTAGTCTTTTTCTGTTATTTCAGAACTGTGATTGGAATCAAGTGCAAAGATGGGATCGTTATGGTATGCATTACTTTTCCTAGGTTGAATCCTTTATGTAGATTTGTATGCAAATGTAA